GTGGCGGCGCTGTCCAATTACAGCTTTCAGCGAACAGATGTACTACCTATAACTGACAGCTACAATCAACGCCGGCAATCGAGCATGAAATCGACAACTACAGCTACAACGACAACAAAAACATGGCGAATACAACAAAACCGTTATGAGGTAATGGTTATAAGATCGATGACAGCAGCTGCAGCTCCGTACATACATATGTACATGATGTTGCTGTTGGTCCTGCTTTATTGCCATTTTTTTTTTTTTTTTTTTTTTTTTTTNTGTTAAATTGTTCTGCGCGAACACATGTGAAATTCATTGAAGATTTTGACTGATGATTGGCAGAATGCATGCAAACGGCACAAGAAACAACAAAACAAAACAAGTGTAGCCAATTATTTTCGATTTAAGGTATGTACGATTATGTATTTAGATGGGATGAAAACCCAAACCGGTCAAAATATTTTGCGAAATGTGTCATGGCGTACACCTGTTCGATTATTTTACAGATGTTCTACACACATTTACACCTTAATGCCGTATAAAAATATTTATTTCTATATTTGCTACAACCGGAAATGGCGGCAACATTTCCGTTGCTTGCCGCATATTTTTAATTGCTGCCCACAAATACATATCTATGTTTTTATACTGTTACTCCCAAAATTGGGCGTGGGGGTGTGTTTTGTTAATATTCGCAATGTTTTACATGCTAAAATTTTTTTGTTAATTTTGTTTTAAAATATGGCTTATGTTTTAGCAAATGCTATTTAAATCCAAGAATGATACTGTGTACAAGAAAAGAAAAATTTGCAAAGTTTCAGTAAAATCGCGAACTTTTTAATACGAATTTCTAAAAAGAATTCAGGTATGCAGTTTTATAGCCAATTAAATTTTTTGATAATGTGCAAATTTGAAAAGGCTAAAAATTCGCGTTGATTTTTGAATTTTTTTTTTTTTCATATAAAAAAATTCTGAAAATTTTGTAAATGGAAGAAAATGCGTGGGGCATTCAGCAAAAAATTCTCAAAAATCAACGCGATTTTTTTTTTTTTTTTTTTGAAATTTGCACATTATTATAATGGGCTATAAAACTGCATACCTAAATTCTTTTTAGAAATTCGTACTGAAAAGTTCGCGATTTTGCTGAAATTTTGCAGATTTTTCTTAATTTTTGTACACAGCATCATTCTTGGATTTAAATGGAGTTTGCTAAAATATAAGCCAAATTTTAATGCAAAATTAACAACAAAAATTTAGCATGTAAAACATTGCAAATAGCCGTACGCTAAATTTTGGGAGTAACAGTATGTAGTATGTGGAGGTATTAAGCAAATATTTCATAAAATAAAAATATTTACAGCTGTGCTTACTCTTTGATGCTCATGAATTAGAAAAAAAGACATACGACAACAACAAATGTAAACAAACACATATATGTGCGAACAATTAGTACGAATTTTATAAGCATGTTTCGCCTCCAACACATAAGAGGAGTCGACAATTACCCTAATAGGCTGAGGTGTTAATGTAATAAGTGAACTTCGCAAATTTTTAATTATTAATTGGATAGCCATTACTAGTTGAAAATAAACCATAAAACCAATATTCAGTGCTTGTCAAAAATAAGAAAAAAACTTAAAAATTGAAATTAAATGATTTGATTGAAAATGACTAAATTAAATCATTGAAAAAGTGAAAATTTCTTGTGTTTTACCGAGTTCTGTATGAAATAAAAAAAATTATTCTTTTGGTTTTTATTGTTGAATTAAATATGTATGTATATATATATGTAAAAATAAGAAAAATTCGGTATGAAAAATGTAAATAAATAAAATGGTCAGAACGTCAGGGTACATATATTTTTAACGCCGACTCTATATTTTAGATTTAGTGGTTTCGAAATTTTGTAACCTGAGTATGCTGAGCTGAAACCCAAATCGACGCTGTCTTTGTAATTACAGAGGTTTGGACATAAACCTGCCCGCTCTTAGTACCAAAGCGCGGTCAGAGGCGAAACCATCCGTAAATTAAGCGATCGGGGAACTGCGGGCTGTTGCCAGCGTCAGACGAAGGCTATCCAGTAAGCCGGAACGGCAATAAAAATCCAGGAAAGTCTACTACCATCGTCGTATGGCTTCTGTCGTAACCAGAAAAATAAAAAGTGACCAGAAAAAAACGATAGAGTCGGCAAATTTGCCATCGGATTTTTTATTTTTTGTTTTGAGAAATGATACGGGGTCATTGAGAAGAGAAAAACGCCTAAAGACCGTTTTGTCTAAAAACTATGCAAAATAACTTCTGGTGTGAAAGAAAACAACGCAACAGGGTTAGAAAGATTCGTCGTTGCGGCTAGTGGGATGAAAATATCCGCGTATAAGAACGGGAAACGGAGCGCAAGTATGATCCTCTCCAGAATTCTCTGACCTGACTGTATACTAATGAAATATCTAAATAGCCTTTGAAAGTAAAGCGAAGGGTGGTCAATCGGCTAGAAAAAGTTCAGCTTTTGAAAAGGAACACATATGTCATGGGAATATAATGCAGGTTTATTTGATCGAATAAGCATACAATTAATATAAACTTTCGCCATTTATTAAGATTCACATCTTACGAGAAATCAATGGTCATGTAAGTTGAATTGCGCTACGAATAGAGTCTTCATACCCGGACAAAATACGCAAAGACTTCTTGAACGTGAAGAAATAGCTCGAATCAGTTAGAAAAGGTTTCGATGCAGCTTATTACTTGCACTAACTTTTCTAAAAAAAAAAAAAACAATTTACTAGGCAAGACCAAGACTAAATAAAAATAATTTTCGGATTTGAAACTAAGCTGTCGAAGTTCGTCATGTTTTAAAGGTTGTCCACGTTACATACACCTAAATTGAGATCAAGAAAAATCTTTTGAAATCTTTCGAGATTTTATTGTTATCTTATTGAGACATTTCGGATTTTTTTGAGGACCACCTGGTTTTATATAAAAAAAAAATGTCAATCTTATAAAGACCGAAAATGTATGCCGAGATTTAACTTAACAAAAATGTAGGTCCAGTTTTTAAATACCTAATTTTCAGCGGCCGGTTTTCACAAATTGACCAAAACTTTATGCCTAGATTTAAATGACTGAAACTGTATGGCCAGTGTTTAAGTGACCAAAAATTTACCGAAAATGTATGCTGAGATTTAATTAACTAAAAATGTATGCCCAGTTTTTAAAATGCGGAAAATGTATGACCAGTTTTTAAATTGCAAAAAAACAATTCTTCAGTTTCTTGAATACCAAAAATGTATGTTCAGTTTTTTATATTTATCAAAAATTCAGGCAAGCTCTGCAATTAACTTCCGAGCGAATTTCACTCCTATTCAATTTGAATTCAAACTGACTTTGGTTGAAATTTTTTCGGAAGTGAATTGCCGAACCTGCCCGATTATGTCCAATTTTTAGGTTGCAAAAAAATGTCAAGCGTTCATATAAATAGTCACTGTAGGCCATCATGACGATGGCTACACTGTTCTCAGCACCGCGAGACTCATTTAATATTTTCATTGAAACTCAAGATTGTCACTCAAAGAAAGAAATATGTATGTATGTATGTACATGAGTGCTGAATATGTCAATGCGGAGAATTTTCAGCAAGATGAAATTACATAATCAAAACCTACATATATGCATACATACATATGTATGAGCTAGTTAAGCGAGCGAAACATATTCGTTACACGCGACAGGCTTATACTGAGTGTGTAGAGCAGCAACAAAGTTGCGATATGCATATTCAGTTTTAAAAATATNGTTTCTTACAGTTCTCACCCATTATGCTTTGTTGTACATAATTAAGTTTCATATTTTGTGTCACTTGAGCCATGGGCATTAAAACTTATCTAGCATATGTGGAGGTTAAAGCA